ATGCTTAATGGCATTTCTTTATGTTTTGATTCCCTAGAAACCTTCTCAGAACTTCATTGTAATTCCTGTAATTTATTTATACTTACGCGACAATTAAGAAAAGAATTTAAATTATTTATTGCCAAAAAGAAATTATAGTAGTTTAGAAATAATTCTTAATTAAAACATGTGACGCTATATACTATTTATTTATGGATCTTTCTTCATGAAGCTGGATTTTCATGATCTAGTACCTAGAGAACCTGAATTCAAAGACAGGGCTTTTAATCATGTTCAAGTGATCGGTTATTTGAATAATATATTCGTTTAAATCAAGGCATACAAATTGAAAGCGTCACATTCACCACACTGTGCCGTGTTGGTCCCATGCGACGAATACATGACAATGTTTGAGTGCGCGTAACGACTGTGATCTGGATTATAAATGAATTATTATTTAGCATATCAAACTCATTATAACGGTACGACGACTTAAAGGTAATGTCGGCAGGATAAAATCGTGACGAATCGAAAAATAGTCACCATTTTTCTGCTGTAGCGATGGTATTTGAAGTTGCCGCAAATCATTAAAGCTAGCCTATATAAAAAAATAATTACATGTTCTTCGCCTTTCTCGGGTACATTGTTGTGTTTGTTTTGTCTCTATACAACGATGTAAAATAGACTGTGACTTATTATGTATGGAACAGGCTCGTACTTTCTGGAAGCCAGGGTTCACAGTGACAACACCCAGTGACCAGAGGATATAATCGAGATCAAATTCAATCGCACACAAATTTAGTTATAACTACTAGTATTACAAGACCTATTATTATTCAATAGTATTCAAATATGGCTTGGTATAACTTTCAGTCTAATCATAACCTCCTATTTATCATAGATAAACAAAAGGTATATAGTTACTAGATATGGTATATGCTACTATGTTTAGTTGAACTAAACTAGTTGCGACTGGTGTGTCGCATTCTAAAAATACACGTATCTATATCCCTTCACATCAACCTCCGGACTGAACATATTACGCTGATTTTCCATAGGAAGAAACATATTGCGGAAAACATTTTTTTTTTTTTTGGAGATAACCATTTTGAACAAACTGGTTTTGTGCAATGGCGCATGACAAGAACAACTGCTCATGTCTATTTAATAGGTAATATATTTTCATCTCTGCCCAAATACGCCTTAAGCTATTAAATTAGGTCAACCGACTCCTTTTATTTGTTATATCAGATCCATTAATACATTGGCGTATTCGACGTTAAAATTATTTTTTAAAGAATATGAACGCGAACTGACTCAACTTCAACAATGCAGATGCCAACAAATGAATTATTTTCATATGAAAAAAGTTGTTGCTGTATATAATTCATTAATGATGAGATGTTTATTCTAAGCAGGGCACATTCAATTTTGTGATTGAAGCAATGATATTATATATACATATCACCTACGCTACTCATACCATCATATTAATAGGTATGGCTTTCAGTGCGTGATATTGGGTACATCCACGGCGTCCGTGCAGCAGTAGTTATATTGTATTCCCCGAGCATGGTGTCAAACTGCCGGTCGATTTATAGACAAAACAACAACACATCACAACTACTGAATTACAAGTGATATCCTGCTTACATCACGACTAAATAAGTTATATAAATAAGGAAACAGTAGCGTGCATTAGTGAAAATTCATCCATCTTTATTATTAAACATGAGACCCAGATTCACACCTCCCGTGCTTACCATATTTAAAACAAAACAGTGGGCTATAGAATTATGCTTAGCTTAAACAATAGATGCGATCAGAAATTTGTCCCACCATGTTTACTCAGTAAACAGTGAACACCATGTTTTCAGCTTTATGTTCAGCAACGATATACGTTTTTACAGTAAATTGCGCTAGGTTAATTTTACTTGATTGAAATGATGAATATTCAGGATGTTCCAAAGTTAATTACTGCTAAAAATTAAAAAAATCCATTTTCATTTTAGATCTTAAACAAATCACATTTTCCATCTTTCTAATTTGGCACTAGGTGCAAATCTTTAATAGATGCTTTACAGTTTCTACAGCAACTTATTGTCACATTATATATCACATTAGGCATCTCGGTTATAGGAGAAAACAAATCCTGACATGAATGAACACCAGTGGCAATACGTCATAAATTCTGAAGCTACGCAAAATTAACTCAAGACATTGTTTTTTTTTTTTCATATTTGTCAATAACAATTCTCGGCAACGGTTTTCTAATTTACGCACGAAAGCACAAAAATGTACGTTTTGAAAAAACAAAAAATTGATCACATATTGAAAAACAACAAGTTTCCTCAAATTCAAAATGTATAGCTAACAGAATATACATGACAAGCGTAAAATCAAATGACATCTTCATTGTGAAATATAGGTTTGAAATGTGTTACCTCGAACCTGGGTCTTATCCTTTAACACACATGTGATAGGTACTGCATATGTGACATAATGATTATCGATTTAGTAATCGTCGCTTGCCATAACCTACGTTTGCTATAAGCCAGTTTGCAAAATGACAGTCGTTGTGTTAATTTAAAAGTGGATATATATTGCTAAAGTGGTTATGTGTTAAAAAAACGGTAGCAGACATTCGGCATATGAATTATGACGCATTGTGACAATGTATTATGTAAAACGCATGCAACTAATGCTGTGCAAGTATAACAACAACTATTTACGATTCAATTGTGGGTGTATTACACTGCAGATTGCCACAGCATTTGCATAATGTGTGTGGGATCTTCTCAAAGCAAAGAGAGTTCTAACATACAGGAGCCATATAACCAATATTGTCATTGAAGGTTAACCAAATTGCATATTCATTATTTTCATTAACTTAACCCGGCAACCGCTTCAATGAAAATGCGTATTGGTTATCTAATGCATGCATGACCGCGGTACGTCATAAAACCTACTTGACAATTCTCCCCACATAATGTGCATATACCTTTTGTAGACATTCCGTATACGTTTCATTATCCATGTTATTGCTTGCTCGGAGCAACAGTTATCAAGGGACCGTGGACATTAGAAACAGTTATAAAGTTAAAATCCATAGAGGGTTATACACAATAGTTTATTAAAGCGTTGCTTGGAGGAGCAACGTATTATTGATTACATGTGAGATTTGAGTGTCAAAACATTGCAATCGCGTATTTTATAGTCCTCCTTGACCAAATACGCTGATTCACGCCTCTCCCTATAGACAATATCTCATGTAATTATCACTCGTTGAAGGAATATTGCAAGTATGATGTCAGCGTGTAGTATTATTATGAATTGAGTACGTGCTTTAGCGGTTAATACAAATAATTAAATGAAGTATAATCATGTATTCAGTCTGGGCATGTGCCTTTCATTGTCTGTAATTAACGCTGTATAATCTCGATGTTTTCCATTAGTCTAGAATTCACGGACTAATGGAATTAATAAAAGACACCCAGCGGGGCTTCCCTACATTAATACAACATACACTGAGCACTGTTTACATATGTATCACACTCCGTATATGTGGAGGTTATAGTTGTAGCTATGCTGTAAAATATTTCATCCTTACTACGCAGTCTATAAAAAAATACATGAACGCTAAATGATGACAATGTACAATATTGTCACTAAGCCGAGGGTACTGTTGAATAGTGACGTCAATCATTATGTGAGAAATTAACAGAAATAGATTGTTGTTGTCGTAGCAACTAATTTAAATCCCGAATAATTTTAAATACCAAGGTGACCTTCCGTGCGTGCATTGTGACAGTACATTTCTACGAATGTGGCGAAAATATCTGATAAATATGGATTTGTGTTTTAGATCAGTGGTGGCTACGTAATTTATATTATACTGTTTATTTGATACTAGATCGGCACATAACGTTAAATTGACAATTTAAGTATGTTGTATTCATTACAATTGCCCTATATAAAGTGACATATTCATACTTTTTCTGGTACACAAAAAATTTTGATAAATATGTCTAATAATAGTTTTGATAAAAAAGAGGGCTATGTGCGGTCTTACATCATGTAAACACGTTCACAATCTGGCATCGATGTGTGATTACTTATACATATACGTATTGCACAATGTTTCTTTGTTGTTTAAAGCTTTTGTTCTTGGGTTTGTAATTTAATTTTTATCAGTTGTGACTATAAATTTCAATTTGATTTGATGTTATAAATTTTCTTCTTAACAATTTTATAAATCATAGTTTTTCATTTGTTCGTTCAGATGATACAACCAATGGTGTGTTTACTTGGAACACTAACAGTACAAAGTACGTATAAAGCTGGGTGTTTTACACGTATTAAAAGAGAACAGCTAAATCCCAGGGATCGCACATGGGTAATTTCAATTCGAAAACAACAATTGATATACATATGAGCGTCCGTTGAAAGGGTTACAATTACAGACGGATGAATATTTGAGTAAAATTGATAAACAAACGAATTACAAACTGAACACACTTTGCTCTGTAATAAGCACACTGAGAATGAACATCTGCCTTCTTAGTATGCAAACCTTTTGAATAGTTTTATATATGCAAACAAACAGATAGATTAACTATTGAGCTCTGAACAAAATCTTCTGTGGTTGGAAATGAATGCAAGGCACGTGTTATAATTACATGCACTCAGTTAGTTGACATTAGTCAGCAAAAATGGCGCTAAATGAAACTAATTGAAGTTTGTGATGACTTACAAATCTCCGACTATAGTATTAATCTGAGCACTAACACCAGATGCTGAAAATATATCTATTTCTGTTTTCACAACGTTATGCTAATGTCATTGGTTGTACTGCATTAAATAAACCAACAAGCTTTGTAGATTGGTTAAACATTTACTGAAACTTTGATTGACGTGTATTAGATGTCATTTTAAACAGTGTTAGCGCAAATATTCAGGATTCATTCAAAATGTTTGGCCTCCAAACATCGTAACTAGCACATTTCTGGAGCTAACTCGCATAATGCAACTAGCTTGAGAAGGATTAGCATACTAATTGCGGCTGCCATCTTGCCCTATGTATACCCTCGGCTTCCCTTTTAAGTATTTATATATCTCAATTTACATCCATTGTTCTATCGCATAAATTTGAATGTGTTGCCACTTGTATTGACGGTGACCTTTTACCAAACACGACATATATTCTGTTTTGACTCTTCGTTTGTGGTTTAAACAAAACTGACGCTTTTCTCCAGAATCTATTAGTTTCTTAATTTCTTACTCGTAAATTGGACAGTTCCTTTGTCGTTTACTGATTAATTGGGCAGTTTCAGATCAAAGTTGGTGAAATTGGCTAACAAATTTGTGGTATTCGTTTTCATAGCCGTTGATTAACTCGTAGTGGTACGATAACAATGAATATATTATTACGCAACAAGTTGAGTAGCTAACAGAGAACGGCTTATTGGAAAAAACAAAAACGTTGTTAGTGTATGTGACAGCGAGATACGAGTAAGTTAAATACTACAATTACAAAGCGAGAAGCTCCAATTTCTATAAATGTATTTTGAAATGCATTAGGACTGGTATTTTGTAAACTTTATTGTCTACATTTAAAATATTAATTTCTCTCGTCACTCTAACATATAAACTCGTTGTCATAGAAATGACTGACTGTGTATTTAAACTTACACGCTCATTTCATACTGTGTTTATTATTTTACATGCCAATCGTCTCAAGATGCAAAACCGAAGTATAGCCTAACAACGCATATGAGAGGGGAATAGACCTAGGACACGAATGGCCGCCGAGATCTCGCTGAGTGAGAGAGGTCCGTGTTCTGTTCCTCTGACTTATGAAACCATGTTATATGACAAATATTTGAGGGTGAACAAATAAAAATATTTGTATATCTTTTCTATTGCTTCAGAAAACAGTGTTAGTGAAACGAATTCTAGGCCGAATGGTAAACAACCAGCTATTTTATGTAATCTACAACCATTATATTAACGGAGAAGCAGTATTTAAACATTCAGTCAAACGTTTGTACACAATTTTCATATAGCTAAGTGTGTCAGTGACACTGACAGATTCTCAGTTAAGCGAGTGATGAATGACACTTCAACATATATTCACTATTCATAGTTGTGAACTGTCTCCCCGCAACTGAAAAGTCTTTTCTCGGGATCTATATTTGAACTTATATTTCACGAGCTCGTTTAATTACACAGGTGCGAATTGTCTCTATGCGTGTTTTTTGGGAGCTACATACTTGACAAACGGGTTCAAAATTCAAAACTTGTTTACCTTTCACGAGTGTTAAAGCGGGAGGGTCGTCACCTGCGCATGCGTCAGATGGCCGTAGCGTGTCATTGTTTACAAACAAGCGTCTACCCATGAGCCTTTGCGTTTTAGCGTGTGTTGTACCCGAGTATGCAAAGTGGTTGACCCAATCAAAATAATAAACCACCTGTTCGTACCAGTCACGGCTACATAATTATTCGGCCATGAATACTAATTTGTTTATTGTTTTGTTTATTATTTGGAAATAAAAAAAGACACGTACTTGCATTGGATTACTGGAAGCGCAAATGGAAGTGAATCCAACAACGTCAGAAAAAAATATGGTGACGTCGTCGAATGATTCGGCTGGTGCTTTTCCGTAACGTTTCAGTTCTTCGGCCACTGTGACAGGCAACATTTGGTACAATAACGAATCTGTCTTTTTCTTCTCTTGCTCAAGTTCCTTGGTTTTGTTCATCAGCGACAACGAAAATTGTTCAATATTTGCCGTTTGGCGGATAACTGCGCGTAAAATGCATACGCACGATATAGCGAATGTTATCAACAGAAACGAGTAAATAACCACGCGGTTTGTCATTCTTTGCATGTCTTCATTCATTTGATATAGGATATCCTCCGCAATTTGAAGTTCAATATCAAACAAGATATCGATGTACTGAGTCATGTTTAAAAACCACCAGTTCCCTGCCTGCCAAAACGGGTTATTGGCGGTTAAATTGTTGTGCATTATGATCGTCCGCATGCTAGCTAACAACTCGAACAGTTCTGAGTTTTCATCTATTGCTGCATTGTATAGCTCGTCCAAGAGGGTGCTGTACGCTCTTGAACGATCAAGTAACTTTTTACCTCCAATACTTTTCTCCATGAACCACAGAAGGTTTCCGTAGTCATAGAAACCACCCATTGCGAAGAAGGTCCCCCCAAGAGCACGTTCGACTCCAATGTGTTCCTTGGCCAGCACTAGTGTTTCGTAGGCCACTAAATCAGACCAAAGTGCCCCGTCATTATAGATGCTAAAATCTTCTTTCAGCCAACTGATTATAGTCTCGATATACACCGTATAAAACTCTAAGGTCTCTTCCAGCGTGATAGTATTGGGGTTGAGCTCGAGGTTTGCGCGAAAATTGGCCAGGTGACTTTGAAAACCTTCTTTGGTTTGAAAAACTTCCGTCTCTCCGTTTTCCAATTGGACAGTTAGCGTATACCAGTAAGCCATGTGCTCGATCGCAGCATCAGTCCGATGGTATTGTTCCTGTAGTACTTTCAAAATCTCTCCCCTATTCGAGCTAATGTACAACGCGGTCGTCCCTCTTTCTATCTGTAAACGATGTACAAAAGTACCGGCGTCGTGTATGCTTACCTCGACTCTTTCCTGCACCGTGGACATTGCTTTCTGTCGCTGCACGCTCTGTGTTAAGTTAACAATCGTGTATACGACCAGAGCGGCAATAGGAACAACCGTCAGAATAACCACGACGACTAAATTCCTCCGTGTGCTGTTACTGGTCCTCCCGTGTCTCTTCGTACAGAAATCGGAGCTAGAACATGCCGGCTGGATGCATACAGTTGCCGGCATGCTTTTGCGTTTAATGTGATTCCGTATGCTGCTCACCATTTGCCATGGGTTACAAATAGGGCAATGATGTATGTCTGCAGCTACGCTAGTCCTAGGCGTGACAACAAAAACGTGGTAACGTTTACTTGACTAGTAAGATCTAAACATCATCATAATTCGTTGGGATGTGCGCATTGATGTCATATGACCAATTAGAGAGACCAGTGTCTGTGATTCGTCGGGCATAAATGTTGGCATGGTGATGTGAGTGTGCCCTCACTGTCACGCACTGAAACACAATGAAGATAGTCGCAGACCGGGATCGCGGGAGGGGTCTATATCGTTAATTGAGAGTCTCGGTGCTGAGAGTGACATGAAAATACATCGCTCTAGGCGGAATACATCCGAATGCAAATGTGTTTGTGCTATCAGTATTAAGAAAATCTTGAAGATTATTGCTGAATACAGAATATAGTTTCTTCCTTTCTTCTCTGTAAATGACTAAGAGGTTAGTGGATTTCATCGTCTAGAGAGTTGCACATTTGCAGAGTCTATCTTCAATTGTAGTTTTTGGTATTATGTCATTGATTCACAGGTTATGATAATATTCTTTTGTTTTGTTTTGGAACACATTTTTGGATATCGATTTAATATAAATTTTGTATTTTGCTTTAATTTGCATTTTTCAAAAGATTGTCCAACCAGGTGTTTTTGTAGCAGTGTTGTTCCATATCTTTTATAGCATGGCATGTGAAACTCATTGGTCCATTGTTTTGTATTCGTTGATAGTATTTTATTGCCTGGTGCTGAAATTTTGCAATTAATATTAGTCGTCCGGTTTCGAGTCTGCACCCAATAGCACTTGTTTTGTTGTTGACGTTGATGATATCCTTACAAAATTTCAAGACGAATTTCTCTGTAGCCATGTCTCCACTCTTGCTGTTATACCGCAAATTCCTGATGCGGATTGGCAGTTGGGCATATTCAAATAGTTTTAACTTCATTTTTATGTTATTTTTTTTATTATTGTAAATGTTAGCGATTAGCCCTTGCTTTCCTGGTCTTGCTAGTTTGTCTCTCCATTGTTTTGAGCAATGAACCATTGGTATTAAAGATTGTTCCAAGGTAGGTGAACTGGTTAGTTTTCTCAAGTGTTGTAATACCATAATTTCGTTATTTGAATATCCAAATACTAACAAATGTGATATATGAATATTGCGTGTAATTGTTATTTATATTATATAAAAGAAATCGGAGAAAGAAGCAAAAGTCAGTTTATATATAGCAGGTCGTCGTCACAACTGATATTATTTGTTTTGTATAAAGGTTGCAGTAGTACAAATTGATATAATTTCGCTATGCATTTATTGTATTAATTAAAATTAAACACTATCCGCTGTAATTAATAATTGCTGATGCAGATAAGTAAAATGGCGAGTCAATTGACATTGGTGGCGGGGAATTTGAGAAAAATGACATAGGAAATAATGGCACAATGGGAATAGCCTAGGAGATAATAATGGCACACTGTGCTGTTACAATACACGATCGTACTAATAAAAACAAGGACTGTGTTTATTTTTTTATAAAACATGGTGCAGTACGTTTTTTACTAAAAATAAATTTTTAAAGACTTTTAATAATCTCTATCAAGGCTGGTCCGTCACCATCCCGGACTATTCGGCCACATGTATTTACATTGTTTGCTAATAAATCCATATCACATACCTCGTACGCTACAAGCACGAGCACGTGAGATATATGGGTCTCATATAAATAAAGATGGCAACTTTGACTGTTGCGCAGATCAACGAGTACGAACTGAGACGCTTCCAAGCTTTAATTCATGTGATTAGAAGGTATTGAAGGAGTCCCCGTCGGTAATCAGTGCAAGTTGCGCCCAGGTCAAACCTCATCCTTGTGATTTCCATTTGAAGAACGCATTGAACTGTGGGAAAATCAATGACTACCGCGCTTTAACTTGTCTGCTGCAAGACACGATAAAAAACAAGGTGTTTATTCTTGGCACCTTTCAGCCACATGTATTCATATTCATTTAGTAATAACTCGCGCGTTACAAGATATAGGTTAATAAATACAAGAACAATGTACTTGTTACGTACCTGTTATTTAAGTAAATAATTATAAATACGCAGTGATTGTAACTTGCTAGTTATAAGTAAATGATAAATATAAATAAATAATCGTAGATTTATTAGTAAATAAATATAAATACATGTGACTGAAAGCCTAAGAATAAACACCTTGCTTTTATTATCTTGTCTTGCAACAAGATAGTGTGTCGTTATTACAGGCTAGGTCATTTCCTCCGTCAGTGCCATTATTGCTGATGCCATGTTTACCGCGCACCAGGAGTGAATATGGTTTTGAAGGTGCATTGGTATATTCGGTTTAGGGACCACTGTCGTCTTCCATGCAACATTTGTTAATTTTAGCCAGCAATTCAAAATCATTTCTATATTGGTAACATATTAGGTGGTATAGTTGGACACTTATATAATAATATTTTTGAGCTTTTGAACCATGGAAAACGTATGAATAGAATGCGAATTATCTTCTCTTGTATAAGAACTGCATCCGGGAGGCTAAGTCACATATCCTTGTTCGCCACGTATTAACGTAATTAGACGTTAGACTAATTAAAAAAGGCATTTTACGTTTTTACAAGAAATAAAATGAAAGTTTCATGTACAGTAAAAAAAGTGTTTTTTACACTTTACAGATAAAGCAAATTCCTAATTACATTAAAATTTCATAATATATTTGATAATTTGTGCTTAAGAATCAAAATTGGAAATTGCGTAAGAATTACGACATTTAATGGGGAAATGCTTTATACGCTTAGTACAACAGATAAGATTTTTGCACACATTACGGATAAATAAAATAGCTGATTACATTTTACACCTTGCCCATGTCTACGAATTTACGTTTTTTTTTTATTTATTTAAATTACATTATTACGAGAATAAAATCAATTGATTAACGTGACAGCGTACGAAAATACCCTCCTGCCGAGCCTCTTTATTCATCTTATCGCAAACACTACATCATTCCCGCCGTATGTCACAGTCGTCATGCCTGTTTTTGTTCGATATGGTCCGATATAACGACATGGTTTGTGTACAAAACTAGAAAACTGGCGATTTTAGGCACTGATATATTTGTTTATATGTGTTCTGCACGAATGTATATTAATAATACGAATGTTTGGAAACAATTGCCTGCAGAAAAGGTAACTAAAATTGAAATCTAGTTACTATAGGTCACGTAACTTTCTGTGCAAATAACAAAATACACTAGAAAACTATACATAGACGTCATTATACAGAGGTCTCTAAAAATCACATGTGCACTACTGGGTAGTTAAATCGGCTAAAGGTGAATAGATGGCGCCCTCTAGAGAGGTTATTGCAATATACTAGTAGCATCTGCCGAGGTGTAGTCGTGAGGCGATGGTCGAATAAACCTTTGCTGGTGCGGATGGCGTTTTGTGTATATCAATTGTAAAGTTTTATCATTATAATCGTAACAATCTATAACAATCTATATTAATAAGGTTATTAACAGAACATAGGTCAGCTGATTGTCTATGCAAAATAATAAAATACGATGAGCAATGATGAGGAATGTCGCATGGCAAAATTATATAAACTTTCCCGTTTACGTCGATATCGTGATACTGGTCGTGAGATTGATTTAAATAACTACAGAAGTGCCCGTAATTCATTTCGATCACTGGTGAGAAAAAAGAACATACATATAACGAAAAATTGCAGGAAACAATTAGAGAAAACATAACAAGTGAAACTATTAGAAAGAATAAGAGTAAAAATCATACATCTATAATCCCATTACAAGATTGGGTCTTGTACTTTGAAAAACTGTATAACCAGGATTCATGTAACAATAACATAGATCGAGAGCATCTTACTGAAGTTAAAAACTTTCTGTATAGTTTTGATCCGCATTATCCAGAATTTGGTGAAACTGACACAACATTGAATGTGCCAATAACGAATGACGAAATTATTCAGTCAATACATAAACTTAGAAATGGCAAATCCGCAGGTTCTGACCTTTTAATCGTTGATTTTTTAAAATTGTCATGTGATGTGTCAATAACATTCTTGAATGCCCTTTTCAACTTAATTTTTAATACTGATATTTTTCCAGAAGATTGGTCAAAAGGTATTATTATTCCTATCCATAAGAAAAACAGTCGAAATGATCCCGGTAACTATAGAGCTATATCACTCATGAGTATATTTGGAAAAATCTTCACCAGTATCATTGAAGCACGACTATCAAAATGGGCAAGGGTTTTTGATATAATCCCAGAGACAGAGACAGAGGATGGATTTAGGGAGGGTTATTCAACTATTGATCAAGTATTTACATTATATGCCATAATTCAGAAACAGTTAGCCAGGAAAAGGGGAAAATTGTATTGTCTCTATATAGATTTCCAGAAGGCATTCGACTCGGTTAACAGGGATTTAAAAAGATGTCAAATCATGTGTTCGTGAAGGAGGGATACTTAGGCAATATGCAATGTTTTAAAGTAGACTTGTATTTTAAGATTTTTGACACCTTAATTCAACCTGTACTTACATATAGGTCTGAAATCTGAGGTTATGGTCAATATCAACATTTAGAAAGTGTACATAAAAATGCTCCAACTTGTACAGTATTAGGGGATTGTGGGATGGCTACCCTTATTTTGTTACCATGTTAAAAGATGTGTGAAATATTGGTTAAAAAATTACTAGCATAGATGAAAACAGATTATCCCAAAAAGCTTACCGGATGGTACTTTCACTGGACAAAAAAGGACAAAGGCCACAGAAATTAAAGAATTGCTATTTAAATATGGATTTGGTTATGTCTGGTTTAATCAAGGGGTGGGGGACTCTGCTATGTTCTTGTATAAATTTTGTGAACGGGTCAAAGATACTGGAATTACAGATTGGTATATAGACGTTTGTTCTGGCGAAAAA